CAGGGCCATATGCAAAAATCTCTTAATAAATATGCCTAATAAGTGTTTGGGGTTAAGTGGGTAAGTGAGATACTTTAATGACTTCATTATGATTTTGTTTGGGACCATTTTTTTAATGTTTTTTAAAATAAATTTTTAGTACAGAAATTTTAATTTATGTATTAAAATAATGCTATATATATATATATATATATATATATATATATTAAAAATTTTATTATATTTAATGTTAATACATTTCAGGTGCAATTTGTCTGTTATTTTACTGGAAATGGATCGCATTCTAAGACCGGGTGGACGAGCATACATACGGGATTCCAAATTTATTACCGAAGAGATTAAGGAAATCACTGAAGCTATGGGATGGAAGACTGAACTGCGTGATACAGCTGAAGGACCATACGCAAGCAGGAAGGTATTGATAGGCCACAAGGAGGTCAGGCATTCTTAGCATTGTTTTGACAAGGTAATATAGAATCTGATTCCCTGTAAGAATTGCTCTTTGTTGATCCATAATGGAGATTCAACGAGGACGTGAAATTGGGTCTGGTTGCTTACAAATGGATGCAACGGTAAGATTTTAACTTCATTTTATATTTTTTAGCTATTCTGTTTTGTCTTACAATGGTGGGTGGTTTTTGGTTTTTGTTTTACCCTTTTTTTTGTATCATTTAAACCACAACAGAACAGATTAATTGTATATTTTATATCTATTCTGTTGTCTTACAGTGTTGGGTTGGTTGTTGGGTTTTGTTTTCCGTTTTGTTGTGTTGTTTAAACCCACCATAGAACAAATTAATTGTTATGAGAGTACAGGCATGAATAAAGCATGTTCATTGAATAAACTATTTCATGGCGAATGCATTATTGACTACTTTGCAGCCCTGTGTGAACTTTCTCAGAAGGGATAAGCAAAAATTTGTTAACGAGCTGAAAACATTTCCTGGTGTTATGCTTGTTAATTATTCAATTGAATATTAGCCAAACATAAACAAGTTATCTTGGAGACCATTAAATAGGTTGATAAAGTTTTATTGATGCTTAGATTGTATGAAATAATATTTCTGATTTTCATAATATGTTTTTAACCTTCATAGAAAGTGATATCTTAGTAAAATGCGTATAATATACATAGAGCTTGGGTTGGATAACTAGTTAGACTTTTACAATCCTAGTTCATCCAAGTCTCGGGAGAACATAGTGTATGTTTGTAGTATCCCATCTCATCCACCTTGTATGTTTGTGGTATCCCATCAGGGGTGGATCCAGCCTTAATTTACAGGGGGAGCAAAAAATTGTACGTTTCACAGATATGTCGGGGGTCCAACACTACACGAAAATAGGTGATTACCGATAGATAATGAAAAACATAGAAAATTACGTATTTCCGACGAATTTCCGGTGGAAAATCATACAACGGCAATTCGCGCGTCGCAAATAACATTCCGACGTAAACATTTCGTTGGAAACATTTTTGGCGGTACTTTCGGCGAAATACCGGCGGAAATATTAGGCATATCTGTCGGTTTTTGAATCCCTTTTTCCAGCTTATGTTCTGCTGCTGTTTCCGGTGCAAAAGTATGCTGGAAAAAGTGGCGGAACGTACGCCAGAATTACTATCAAATATCGATTTAACAGATACACCGGTGTAAAACTCTGCTGGTATTACCGACGCATGATTATGCCGGTAATAGCCATTAGAAGTTGTAGTATCGTATGACGGCAAACTTACTGGCGAAAAATCCGTCGGAAACCTGTAGCATACAATAAAAAAAAAAGCCTTCCCACAATCAAAATGGATTTCCACACCTACAAACAAATTTTCACATAACATCTAAACAACATATAATATCAACATATGATTCACAACATATAAGCAATATAAAAAAACATATAAATAAGCACAATCTGCTTGTTAAATCGTTAAATATTCAAATGTTCGATCGTTAAATATTCAATTGTTCAAAAGTTTAAAAGTGACACAACTACTCAAAACCCCTATGATTGATTTGGTCGAACATTAATGGCCAACATTCTATTTTAATGGCCAAACTTAATGTTATGATTCTCTTTTAATGGCCAACATTCTGCACCATAAAGCATTGCAGGTCTAACCACCATATTATAGAATTTTCTCGTAAGTTTAAGAGGGGTTTTTCTATCAAACAACAAGCCCAATGCATTCCTCCAGTTCAACCATCCAACTTGAATTCTACTATTATCATCCTCATTTGTTTCATCGGAAGGCCGTCGGGTCATCGGAAGGCTGCCGTTTTATGTGACCAACCATCTAAGGCGACTCTATCTAATCTTATCTTCCACTGGAGCTGCTCCGACCTTTACACGTATATACCCATTTCGTATTTTGTCTCTAAGAGTAAAGCCACTCATCCACCTAAGCATCCTCGTCTCTGCAACACTTAATTTAATATTATGCTTCTCTTTTAATGGCCAACTTTCTACACCGTAAAACATTGCAGGTCTAACCACTATCTTATAGAATTTTCCCTTAAGTTTGAGGGGGACTTTTTTATCACACAACAAGCCCAATGCATTCCTCCACCTCAACCATCCAACTTAAATTATACTAATAATATCTCCATCTAATAAAATTATTATTACTAAAATTACATTCCATATATTCAGCTATAGATCTACTCAAATAAAAGCATTTAGACCTAAGGTTCACATCAATAATTCAAGTTTACCTTCAAATCCCTCTTTAGTCTTATCAACAATAAGAATATCATCAGCAAATAGCATACACTAGGGAACTACCTCTTGCAAATGTCTAGTGAGAACATCCATGATTGAAGCAAAAAGAATGTAGCTTTGAGTATTACTGTAAGAGACGGACGGAGTTGCGAGACTCGGTACGAGCGAATGAAGATCGGCTCAGCTTAACGGCGGCGGAGGCCAAGAACGTCGGCAGAGGCCAATAACGATGATGGAGGCCAAGAACGGCGGCGAACTGCGGGCTGAGGTCGGCGAGGCGTTGGTCGTAGCTGGACATCGAACAGAGAACCGAATGAGAGCAAATGAGAAGGAACGAGCCGAAGTTTGGAAATAGGGCTCGTTCCGTCGGAATTACCGACGGATAATATGCTGGTCCGGTTTTCGGCGAAATATACGCTGGTAATGAGTCGTTGTGTTTAAATAAGCCGGCAGCTATTTCGACGGTATGCACGCCGGTAATTTGCGGCGCATTATTCGCCGGTATAACAAACGCACTGACGAATTAACCCGTGTCATATATGACGGAAATGTACCAGCGTATATATGCCAGTAATTATGCCGGAATTATTCTGGCGAATTATCTGCCGGTTCAACCGCCGCTTTAAACGACGTATACATATCCGCCGGAACATCTGCCAGAAATAAGCAATTTTCCTGTAGTGTAAGGGGTCGGTGGGGCTCGACCTGATAATTATATAAATTATATTCTTCTGTGAGTGGATGGCCAGACACATGAGTTGGTCATATGGGCAGGCACAGGCAAGATTGGGGCATATTAGGCCAAAATAATTTTTTTTGTTTTTGGCGGGGGGTTTAGTTGTTTGAAGTCACAAACATATTTGTTTAAAAAAAAAAATATTTTGTATATGAAATTAAAATTATTATTCTTAGAGAGTGAAAAAGAACACCCCGTTTTCTTATAGTCATAACAGAATTCCCAAATCCAATGAACTACAAATTAATTACAAATGGTTTAGCTAACCCGTAAGGATGAGTCTATTGTCTTAATTTATGGTTAACATCTGATGAATCATTGCTCATCTGTCACAGGAAGTTTTGTTTTCCTTGTCATGTTCTGCTTCCTTTTGAATGGAGTTGTTGTAAAACTTTAATTCGTCTTTGTGCAATGAGACCTTCTTGGTTCATTCTTTAGCCACCCAATCATGTTGAACTCATAGATTATAGTTTGACTATGGTTTGCGTTCTTTAAAACAAAAATGTAAATGATACCATGGAGACCAAATGCACGAGTTGATTGCTCAGCCGAAAATCAAAGATTTTTTAAGAATCTAAATTTAGGGTTAAAAAAATCTTACATGTTTGAGTTTAGTCGTCATTGTCGAGTTTGCGAATCACCAATGGTAGCGAAAGCTAGGGCAAGCGGAAGGCAAACAGAAATGCATACACGAACTCTCGAGCGAACGAAATGAACGACGTGCTCTCATTATATTACTTGTTTGAGTTTACTCAACCACTCGATCTAAAATCTACGGCTCAAACCCGTTGTTTTTAGAACCGCGCGGTTCTTGAGAACTAGTTCCATTTCTACAGTTTACCGGTCCGACCAGCTAGGCTGGAGGTTTTTGTCCGATTCAATTCGAAACCGATTCTTAGAGTTTATCGAACCGCCCGTCAGCCAGTTCACAGTTCAACCAATTGAACGGATCGGTCTAATCCGATTTTTAAAACCATACTATTTATAATGCAAATAGATCAATCTAAAGGCCATAGAGTAGCTCTAGTTGTTTCTCTCCTTTCCACATTGACCTTTTTCTCCTTGTCATTCCTGCACCTTGCATGCCATCTCTATGGTGAGAAGGCTTAATTATTGTTTAAGGAATTATGCCGACTGCTACGTTGCAAGCAGTTATTGCATGAGCAGTGCTATTGTTTTTTGCTTCAGTAACTATTGCAAAGCTTTCTAGTGAATAGAGAATTGAGAGAGATTATATTCTTTGGAGAAGGGTTGAACAACTAAAATTGTACACCCATTTGCAATACTCTCTATTGCCAACACTGGCTAGTGATGGTTTGAAAATCAGTGCAAATTTTGAAGAATTATAAATATTTTCACTTTTGCAAAACTCTCTATATAACAGAAGTTAGAAGAGGATTAGGTGAAATTATTCTGTGCGGACATGGACGTCGACCGGAGGCGAATCAGAATGCATTCATCACCCATTTGCTATATACCACGGCTGTATACCAGGTGACGTGGCATGTTCTGATTCACCTCCGGATGATCCTGTGTTCGTACATAATAATTTCTCGAGAATTAGTGGTCAAATCCTATTACATGTTAAAAATTTAAAATTTGTGCTTCATAAATATAGTAAATCCTATTACTAAAAAATGCATCAATTCGAGAGGTAATTTACATAAAAAAATATTAATATAGTATATTTATTGACATTAAATGTAAATAATGTACAAAATTTTCTTATAATGAAATGATTATGCTGATTGTTGACAATAAAATATAATCTAAGGGTTGTAGTTGTAGAGAGATATATTGATAAAGAAATGATATTATTTTATTCTAAACATCTAGAGGTAGTTGAGTTGATACATCTTCACGACTACACGAAAATATTAAAAATGTCTCAACTAAGAATGATTAAAAGTATAAGTATTTGATTAGGTGCCATAATTCTCTTCGACGAGGCGATATTATTGTTCGATAAGAAATTCTCATAGAAAGCTCACCGATATGTGTTCCCCTTAGGGGTCCAAACGAGTCGAGTTGAACTAAAGCCAGGAGGTGTTCGAGTCGAGCTCGACTATCAAATACTGAGCTCGAGCTCGAACTTGAGTCGAGCTCTAAACACGACCTCGAGCTTGACTCATCTCACGTTGAGCTCCTTCTCGACCTCCGTCGTCGAGCTCTGTCCCGAGCAGGCCAGTAGCACACGAGCTCCGTCATCGAACGCCGTTGTCCCGAGCTATGTCGTTAAGCACCGTCGTCCCGAGCTCCATCATCGAATCCATTGTCGTCGTCCCGTGTGCCGCCTTGAAGCAATACACGAACTTCCTTGTTTTGATTTTCCCGCATGGCTTTTGATTCGTCCTCATGCCCGCGGCTTGCCCAAACCGAAGTTTCATTTTCTCG